CCCACAGGACCCCCATCCAGTTCAGACTGCAGTGTGGACATCAGAGGCACTTTGCTCAGCTGCTGCTCCTGTAACGCCTCTTTCTCCTGTTTAAGAAAATCAGGAGGTTGTTTCAGGCAAGTATTTCCACAATCAGAGGCCTCACCGCTGTGTTAGAGCCACACGGTCTTTGGCTCTTCCTGGAGGACATGGACACACACCTGCACGTACCTGCACATGGTCTATAGATGCAGCAGTGCTCAGAGAGCTGCCTGGGACAGATGCAGTCCCAAGGCGAGCACTGTGGTGTGCCCCAGGGCTCCCCTGCGAGGAGGTCCTCCCTAGTGATTACTGAAAAAGGTACATGAAGTCTCTAGACTGTCAGCAATTTAAAAAAATTATAAAGAACTTGCAAAGAAGAGGGCAATGGGTGACCATACTCCAGCACAATGAATGCTGACAGGCCATTAAAGAGTCTTCTAAGAACAGTTAATTTGGTAACACAGGCACAACATAGGAAGCGGGGAAGAAATGGCACACAAAGCTGGATGTACGGTCCCGCTCTGGAGGGAAACGGCATCTCCTATACCCCAGCACCCAGGGAACGTGAGGAGGCGGGCGGCAGGAGCCCCCAGTCGGGCTGTCCCCACACAAGCACAGAAGTGGCTATGGCAGGAACACAGGGCTGTGCGGGGCACCCTCCCTGAGTCAGCGAGCAAGTCCCCGACGAGGGATGACTTCACCCGACAGCTCCCATCAGCATTCTCGACTCAGATGCATGTGGTGAGGTCAGCGCCCCAGACTCCACGCCCCAAGGCTGGTGCTCCCCAGGCTCACCCCGCCAGCGTGGGGTGGCCTCCACAGCGCCCCCTCATCTACAACAGGCCAGACCGGGGCATCTGCACAGCACAGGGACAATACAAGGCCACGAGGAGGGGTCCCCACTGCAGTATTTCCACTGAGGAGCTGACAAATTCCTAAACTTGAACATCAAAATGGTCATCAGGAGATCTAAGTAATTAGTGAAGCAGGTTTTTTAAGCCTAAAGTCTTGAACATTTAACTTATGAAATTTCTGAAGACAAACTCAAGAGTACTGGAGAGATAAATGAGTATCACAAAAGCTGATGTAAAATGTTACCACACCAAATGTGACATTGTGATTTCTCATAATAAACAGGTGTTTGGTCTCCCTGCTCCCAGCACAGACTCTGGGGGTTTTACCCTTGGAATTCCCTAAGTGTCCAGAGCAACACAAGTATCTTTGGTACATTGATGAGGTGACTTTGGGAAGCCCCAGGTCCCCTCAGGGTGGGGGCTGGTCACCAGGGGAGGCCGCCTGTTAGTAGAGGGCTAGGCGGGAGGGGTTGGATCAGAGGCAGCCGGGTGCTGATTTCCTCACCCTGCCCATGAGAGGGGACCTCCACGAAGACCCAGAGGACAGCGTTCAGAGAGCTTGTGGGGCTGTGCCCAGAGGATTGCGGAAATACTTGGGGAGAGTGGCGCCCGCAGAGGGTGTGGGAGCCCCACCCTGGGAGCCCTGCCCTCCCCCCGGCTGTTCCGAGTCACGCCCTGTGTGATAGCCAGTGACCCAGGGGGCACCCTGAACTCTGTGGGCAAATTGACCGAACTGAGCAGGGCCCCAGGACCCTGACCTATACTGGAGCATCAGAAGCACAGGGACACCCT